GCGCAGCCGCCTGCCGTCGCCCTCCCCCCGCGGGCCCGGCTCGCCCCCCGCCCGTCCCCTGGCAGCGGCCGCCGGACAGAGCGCTGGCCCCGGCTACCTGGCTGGGCTGCTCTGCCTGCTCCGAGGAGGCCATCTTCCCAGGCCCGGCTAATCCATCCACGCCCAACCGATGGAACGCCCTCACCTCCCGTCCCCCCGCGCCTCGCGCGGCCCCCTGCCTCGYGCTCCAGACAGAGCGAATCGAACTCCGGCGCATCGATGTGCCCTGCTGAGCGCCTCCTGCGATGAGTTTCCGGCCTCTGCAGCCTCCCGGCCTAGGGCTCGGGGCGAGTCCAGGAGCATTAGAGACCCCGAGGGTGAAACCCTTTGGGTTGCAGAGCTGACTGGCCCTGGGGGCTTGACGGTCATTCCTGGGAGCAGGGCATGGGTGTCCACGCATCCACTTTCTGCAAAGTGGCTCAACTGGATGGATTTCGGGAATGAGGCGTAGGGATCATCCCTGACACGATGATTTAGCGCCTGGCCCTCACTAGCCTAGGGGGAGGCCGGTGAAGTCTGTCCCCTGCCGTGTCACACATTGACTGAACACGGCTGGATTTCAGCAGCGCGGGGGCAGCCCGCCGCAGGTGGCTTCCTCGGACTCGTTTGTGTGTGTAACTATTTGTGTTCATTATTATTTATTGTTGCAGCTCCTACAAGTTGCTGGGTGCTAAGAGGCATAAGTGACGGCCCTGCTTTTCAAGCGCCTGTGCGAGTGCCTCGCTGTATCCGGAGCCGATGGCAGGAGCAGCACCGTTTCCTCCCACCTGCAGAGATCCCACCTGAACAAGGCCAATCCGGCACACACCCCACAGATTTATTGCACACCGGCGTTTTTTCCAGTCCTATTAAAACTTTACAATCCATATACCTGCCTGCAAGCGGATACATTATTTGAGTGTACCTAAGTCTTTCATTATGCATATTTGGACTATTTGCACATTTTAATTGTTTTRCCGGTAATTAAAGAGTTGCCAACACTTCAGCACTTTTTTCCCCTTGCTCTTGTGAATCCTTGGGCCTCAGGCTCTGCGGCGGAGACAGTCTCTAAGGGAAAAACCTAACTCTCAGGGTGGCTCAAAGGTCACGGCGTGCACAAGTTGGTGACTCACAATCCGCAGGCAAAAACACTCCTTTTAAAAACGTTTAAAAAAAAAAAAAAAAA